TATTATACTTTAAAAAATAATCCTAATGAATCTTAATAATTTCTTAATAGCAAAATATTATTTAATCGCTATTATCTAAATTAGTTGATAGAAACATTTAAGAATTGACGAACTATAAATTTCTTACAATTTGAATATTTGATTTATTAAAATTACTTTTTCTGAAACATAATTTTTCATCATTTTTATTTAACTAAACTTCTTTATTGTAGCTTTTAATTATTATTTCAGCTTATTTAACGTCAAAATTTTATTAATTGATTATCATCTCCCGTAGAATATCTCTATTTAAATATTGTTTTGATTTATCTAAATAATTAAATCATATTTTTAAATTGCATTCAAATATTATTTTAAATTTCATATTAAGTGTTAAATATAATATCTTTAGAATGCATGACGTATCCTTAAATAAATAAATTTATCTAACTTTTCTTTCATAAAAGCAATCAGCATTAAAGCATAATCTATATGATATATATTAATTTGAATTACGTTTATTATAGAAAACACTAGCGACTGTTGAATTATTCTCAAGCGCCTAATCTATAGGTGTTGTTTTCAATTTTTTCTTAAGATTGTTTCAATTCTAATAATAATAGTAAGATCTTTGTTATTTTTTTTTTTGATCGTCAAATATAATCATATGGATTTCTATTATGCACTTTACAATAATAAACAAATAGATTACTTTCTAATATTCTTCATAACAAAAAGAATATATTGTTAATTTATAATATAGAACTTTAATCTTAATTAATAATTAATAACTGTTTTATTTAATATTTATAATAAAATAATTATTTATCAATTTTTTATTTTATTTAAATTTTATCATAATTCAATTTCTGATTTAATATATCCTAAACTCTTTGTCTTAAGTTGAACTTTAATTTAAAATACAATAGAAGCAAACCAATAATTGATATCAAAGCATATATTGAGCTTTTACTAGATTATTCTAAATGAGGGGGGTAGATTATAATGTTATAATTATCGTTTGAAATTCATTTTAACAAAATATTTAAACGTTAATTTCATACTACGTGTGGCTATTTAAAATACATGTGATATTCCAAATACTTATTTTGTAATTATGTATCGATTAGTAATAAAAATATAGTGAAGTTCCATTTTGATACAGTTTAGGAATTAGAATGTTTTCTAAGTAAAATAAAATTCTATTTCAAAATAAAAAATATATTATTTGTTTATCCATTCACTGTTTTTTTATTTATAATCATTGCATAATTTGGGTTTGTAGTATTAAATGAACCTTGCATCAAAATGGGTTGGATCAAATTTTCATCCAAGAGATTATTCAAATAATAAACTCCAACTACAAATTAACTAAAGTTATTTTATGTAAATTATTTCATCAAAACTCCATCTTAATAAAAAGAATTAGCAATAATCTATAAAGAACCACAAATTGGAATAGTTCCAATAATTGCGCCAAGTTAATTGTTTTAATTTTATAATGAAAATTTTTCTATTTGTAAATTAATGATGTAGCAAAAATACATATCATACACAAGGATAATAGCTCTGTCAGAATATATCTATAAAATTAGAATCTAATAATATTTTATTTAATGTTGATAGCATTATTACGATAAATCGCAAAAATTAATGTAAACATTAATCTGTTTATAAATTTTATTCTTTTATCTTAAATTACCATAATTTAATAAAATACAATATAATTATTAAAGTATTAGAAAATAATTATTTTATCTTATTAAATATCTTCATTAACTTTTGGAATTTATGCAATAGAATAATTTGACAACTACTAATTATATTCATTTATAAGGTGTTGTTAGATTAATTAAGCCAATAAAGTCAAATAATTTAATACTATTATTCAAATCTTATTGTTAAGATAATATAAAAATTTGGTTTAAAATACTGCTTATTTTAATAATATTTAAACTCTTTTTGGAAGTTAAGTAGTTTCAAGTTATAATGTTGTACTTGAATCATTTAATGTAAAATTGAGTAAATATAGAAGTGAAAAGATAACGAGATTATTCTATGTAGTATTATTTTTACAAATTGAATATAATTAGTAAATATATGATGTTGATTGTAAACATGAACTAAAATTTAGATATGAATAACTTATATTCGATAGATTACATAAATCACTATTTACAATTTAGAAGTAAAAGTTATTCTATAAAAGAGTATGTGTATATATTTATTTAAAAATAAAATATCATGGTCAAAAGATATAGTCCGAATAACCTAGAAGGGGACCTGTTAAGCAAGCTAGCACGTCACTTGCCAACAATAACCCTTCCCTAGAAAGTAGGGCCTTATGCGAGTACTATATGAGGACCATTTTCGAGTAGGACATTAGTATAGATTCCTCCATATGCTCTTCTTGGGCAAGTTAAAATCTAAAAGTGGGCTAAATTCAAAATGCTAGGAGCACCTTTGTTTATAGACTCAAGTATTGATGTCACTAGAAAAGGAAAATTGATTAATTTTTTTAATTTTTTTGAAAAAATTTTTTTTTTAAAGTTATCAGAATGAGCAGTCAGATTTCATAGAAATATTCCTTTATCACAAATGTCACAACATTTCTCCAAAATCTTCAAATATTGCCTAATAATTGACGAAGATGGTGACCTTCGCCGTGCATGGCTTAGCAAAACCTATATGCAACTACTAGACAAGTTCTACAAAGATGAAAATAACAAAGTAAACTAGTATCCTCAAACTGGTGTGAGTACATCAGAAATGTGAAAGGTGGTAAGGTCTTAATGGAAGACTCTCTCATCAATAATAGTTAGGAAGAGTTTGTCTAAAAGGTGGACAACCAACTCAAAGCCTCTTAGATCTAAGAGAAATACACCATCGTTTAACAATCAATTAAGAAAACTAAAATACAGACCTCAACTCAGATTTAGGCTGATAACCTCAAGCTGATTCAAGCTATTCAGGATGAAGGTACGACATTGGAAGAGTTTTGAACTTCAATTTAGAGAATCTTAACTTGGTAAAATTGATGACTTTATTCGAATATGGACCGGACTTATCCAATCCATAACATATGATCAAGAACTTGATGTCTTACACAAAGGAAGGGACTTCCTCAAAAGATTCGTCTATATAAACGATATCAATCAACTAGAGAAATACCATTATAACCCTACTCAATTTTAGAGACTAACAATTCACCCAAACTATTAAAGAGAATTCTTACTTAATCTAAATAAAAAGAACAACTCCTAGGAACAATGTATGGCAATATATTTGCACAATCAGAAAGAAGCTCATGTAAAAGAACTTCATCAGATGCTTAAAACGTATGGGCGCTCTACGACGTATCAATGGATGAAAAGATTACTAAAGCTTATGAAAGATACATCTAAGACCAAAACATTGATAAAATTAAAAAAGCTTTCCTTTCAGATAGTGGCATCAATAACTATAGGACACTCAAAGATAACTCATGGTAAATAGTCATGTTCACCTCCTCTACCAAAAACTAGACATGGATATACCTAATAGAACAATATTATGAGGTAGCTTTATTTTGCATACAATTCTGTAAATAAATGTTATTGTTTTGGACATGATCTAATTTATTGAAAAAAAATTATTAGCTTCAATTACATTAAAAAGATAATTCAGATCTTTTTAAACACCATAAAATTCAAATAAGAGTCCTCTCAATCAAACATTATCCTCTGCTGTAGCTTTTAATTCTATAAAAAAAAATTTCGCAGAATACTTTCTTTAGAAACAGTTATTTCTTAATATTCAACTCAATATTATTATTATTGTTATTAATTCAATAATAATTTTTCATCAATCTCTAATAATTCTTTTGCTATTATAAGAATAAGAAGTAGTCTAATTTTATTAATTATTTTAGTTAAATAAACAAAACAAAGTCAATTAAGTCTTAAATATCAAATAAAAAAATAGTATTTCATAATTTATTTTTCTATGGGGAAAATGATATAATACTCAGGATAGAAATTAAATAAGTGATAAATATTTTAAGTGAGCTTTGTTAAACAAAGTAACAAATATTTTCGATATTTATTAACAATTTTTGTTTATTTTATTTTCTTATTCATTTTTTTTTAAAACATCCATATAAAATTTTATTTTATAGTAACAAATGTTTACTTATAATTTACAATTTATAAACTACCAAATA